AGAAGTTGATAAATATTTGACCAACCTTATATTTGTTTTTCATTAGGTATGTCCATGTTACCCATGTACAATCAACAATAAATGTTACAAACCATTTAGCACAAAAATAGATTCCACAACGAGTCCCCACACATTAGAATGAACTAAATCAAATGGGAAAGAGCTCTTATTACCACTAATTGAAAAAGAAGAACAATGGTGTTTAGAGAACTGACAAGCATCATAATTGAATGATTCAATAGAAATTTTTGTAAATAAATGTGGAAATAGGGATTTAATAAGACTAATAGGAGGATGTCCAAGTTTCCTATGTTAAAACCATATTTGAGAAGTGGCCTAAGTGTCAGTCTTAACATGGTGGCTTGAGATTGATTCCTTATTCTTGTCATCGTTCCTTTCTTGCTTTAGGGAGTATAACCCACCTTGTTCTTTAACAATTAAAATCGTCTTCCCTGTGGTTAAGTCCTAAAAAGAACAATAAAAGTGATAAAATGTTACTAAAAAATTTAAGTATGGAACTAAGGCTGTTAGCCAATTTTAGGACATGTAAGATATTATTCAAAATAATAAAGGGCTCAACTTGAATGCTACCAGATCCAATAATAGGCACATTATCTTCATTAGCAATTGTAATGAATTGTTTGACGTTTTTTTTGGAATATGAGGAAAAGAGTGAAGTAAAGGGAGTCATGGTGATTTTGTTGCTCCAGAATCAAGAATCCAAATTCCCTAAGACACAAAGCCAAAAGTATTAAAAGAACTCTTACCCTTCATGGATAGTGTACATAAGCTAGATGGTTACTCATTTATTCAATCATCATTCTCAGATGATCAATCTCTTCTTTACATGCTCTAATATCCTAATTCAGTTGAGATTGAGTTGATGGATTTGTCACTTTAGGCTCTGAAGTTGTATGATTGACCCATTTTTGTGTAGCTCCTTTGTTTTCCATGCATTCAAGAACTTTCTCTCTCCCATGATGTTTGAATCATGTCTTTTTGGAATGTCCCGGCCTTTTGCAGTATTGACAATATTCTCCATGATTTCCTTTTGTTAGGTTTTCCTCCAAAAGTTGACCTTTTGTAGGATCCTTTTCTTGTTGTCATAGTTGAACCTATGTTGGAGCTTCCCTCGTTATGCATGACTGCTCTCCGAGTCTTTTCACCTTGTACAATATAAAATACTTCAAATAGAGAGGAAAATTTTTCCTTCCCTAAGATTTGTATATAGATAGGATCGTATTCTAGATTTAGACCATCGAGGAGTTTGAAAATTCTCCCTCTCTATAACCTTTACTTTAGTTGTGGCATCAACCTTACATGTCTTTGAGCTTTGATACTGGTCCAACTTGATCCACAATCCATTAAGGATCCCATGATACTCTAAGATAGATAGAGCCCCTTGTTTTGTATTAAAAATTTTGCTTTGAATGTTGTAATAGGCAACAAAATCCTTCTTTAAGGAGAACAATTCACATAGATCCTCCCACATATTCTTTGCATTGGGGTAAAACATATAGTTTCAACTGATTTTTGGTACCATAGAATGCCACATCCAAGTCACGATAAAAGAGTCTTCATTATCCCATGCTTAAAATGTTGGATCATTTGGAGCTAGACTCTCCCTCAATATGACTTAATTTTGATCGACCTTTAAGAATTCTCCGAATGTATTGAGCCCACTGGAGATAGTTTTAACCGTCAAGTCTGTATGGTCCCAACACATTGGGTAAGTTATTAAGACCTAAATGGAGGTTTTTTTTGTCACCCATGGATGAACTAAGTAGAATAAGCAATAGGAGAGAGACAAAGAACTCAAATCTACAATAATTTGAAAGAATCTAAATGACACTACCCCTTGAAATGGGCTGGGGAGTCACTGGCGAACCTTTCTGGATGGTCGCCAGCGAGTGAGTGTCATCAGAGATAGGCATGTGGCCTACACGAGCTAGGAAAATGAGACAAACTATGGCAGTGTGTGAGGAGGTTTTTGACTGTGCGACTCATAGTGTTGTGATCGTTGGAGATAGTCACTTCTTTTTGGCCCATAGTTGTCTCCAACAATAATGGTGACAATGACAGTGACAATGGCAACGATGTCAACAATGCCAATGAAAATGATAGTGTCTCATCTTTTTTTTATAATTTTATTTAGGATAGTAGAAATAGAGCTCCCAAGATCAGGAACTTTGATACCAAGTTGAAAGAGAGAGTTTTTATTAATTTGTTTCATACTAATTATATTCTTCTCTTCCCCTGTTGTATAGATACATTTGTCTCTGAAATAAATAATTATGAAAATAAATAAAAATAAAAGAAATAAGACAAAATCATATCAAATATCCTAAAATAATATCAAATCTCTTAAAATATTTTTATTTACAACACTTTTTTAAATCTACTAGAACAAAAATTATTTTCTTTTAATCGTTTTAAACTTCAATTTTTATAACAATAATTTTCTCCACTACTTAATAATAATGGGGTATTATTTAATCATACTACCTAGCGATTATTTTCATATAACATGTAAGGTTACATAATTGTGTGTCATTAATAGTTCATAATAGGAATTATTTAAAAATAAAAAAATTTATGAAAATCAAAATAAAAATAAAAGAGGATTAAAATTTTCATATTTACACAAATTAAAAGCGTAGTGTACTCAAAGGAACCAAGGATAGGGGTAAAAAGGTATTTTCTTCGAAGCTATCATTGATTCATTGCTAAGTGAAGCGTAGAGTATATCAAATCGTGCGGTGTGAACATAATTCTTGTGGGGCCAGATAATTCATTATATTTAAGGATGTGACCTATAGAACAATTTTTTATGTTTGTTTTTTCATAATTGCATCAACGTGGCAATTTTTCTTTTGGTTCATGATTTGATTTTCCCTGTTGCAAGTTATTGGCATGCCATGTGTTGATTTGATCTGCTTTGTCGTGTGAAAGAAAATAACAGGTCTAAATATCTCTATGGCTTTGATTTAATCTCTATATATGTTATTTTTTTAATTTAATTTTTATGAGTATATAACCATTTTAAAATTCATTAATATTATTTTTTATTATGGTTATAAACCTGTAAAAATTAGAATAAAGTTACCGTAAAAGATAGAGACAATTAACAATTGAGTAAAGCTAGAGCCTCCGAAAAATTTGGCCGAATGATTGTCCGAAATTTAAAATATTAATATTTTTTAATAAATTTATTATAAAATAATTATTTAATTTAATATTTTATAATTTACCTCAAACTATCAATCATTTTCCTTAACAATTATTGCATCTCACAAGACAAAAATATAAGACTATTTGGTCCGTACATGTGATATTTTATGCATTGCATTAAAATTGCAATAGACTACTGACAGATGTTGGTTCAATTGTAAGATATTTAATTGTGGAATTTGGGTCTCTATCAATTTTTTCTTTTAAATATAACAACTTTAAGTCTCTCAATCAATATTTAAAAAAAAAAAATAACAATTTTGTTGACATTTACGGTGACATAACACTCAATTACATGAATGACACAGACTATACCAATGAATTTCTTTAATATACAAAATAGTATGGTATAATAAAAAATAATTATGAATTTATTAGTTTAATGTGTTTAAATGTATTTTTATAATTGTAAGTTATTATTAGTTTTAATTTATAACAGAAAAAGTTGATTGTAGAGATTACATAAATGTATACAATAATTAGTTTAATATATTTATTGGTCTTATTATATTATAGATAATGACATTAATTAAGATTTGAAATTCGAAAAGATAAATTAAATAATACTTTAATTTGTAAAACATTTATTTTATGCATTATAAAATTTGACATATCCAAATGACTGAAAATTTATTCGACGATGTTATAAATAAAAAGAAAATTCGAGTAATTCAATGCATAAACCTATTGAATATGTTGGTAAAAAAATTTATACGATTAGTTAATATTGCACGACTATGTTAGAGAAATAGTTAGTATATTTCATTCGTATAAGTATAAAATAATGCAATACTTATAAGTATTACATAGTACTAGGAAATACAAATCGACTATATATTAATGATTAAATAGTATATTATCTTTTGAAACATTTTTTTTCGGTAATATTTTGTAATATTCGATTTCAATAGTTTGTATTAGTTTAGTTATTTTTATACGCTAAATTATAAAAACAGTACTAATAAACTTCAAATGTTTCAAAATTAATAAAAAAAATATTTTTAATTTAAAAATAGTTTAAAAAAATTGAACTAATTTGTCATTTCACATTTCAAAATAAAAAAATTAACATAATTGAAATCCTTCTTTAATTAAAATAAAAAATTCTCATACATTTTCATAATTGTTTGAAATAAAATAGGAAATATTTGTAAGTCTATAACCAAATATAAAAACCTGAAAATTGATCCCACTCTTTTCCATTTAAGTCTAACACATAGTTACTATACCAATGAATTTCTTTAATATATAAAATAGTATTGGTATAATAAAAAAATAATTATGAATTTATTAGTTTAATGCGTTAAAGTGTATTTTTATAATTCTAAGTTATTGATAGTTTTAATTTATAACAGAAAAAATTGATTGTAGAAAATTTATAAATTAATGTATACAATAATTAGTTTAATATATGTATTGATCTTAATATAGATAATGACATTCATTAACATTTGAAATTTGAAATGATTAATTAAATAATACTTTAATTTGTAAAATATTTATTTTATTCGACGATGTTATAAATAAAAAAAAAAATTCAAGTAATTCAAAGCATAAACCTATTGAATATGTTGGTAAAAAAATAAATCTGGTAAATATTAGATGTATTAAAATACTTATTTAAAAGAATATTTAGAACATCAATCTAGACAACTGTCATTAAGTTACAAAATGTGATATATTGTTCCTAATGATAACTCTAAGAAACTACTACCGGCAATACATGTAAATACAATGTGACTAATAAAAAAACAATAGAAAGTTGCATCTTAACATTCGGTGTCAGCTTGCTTCTCAGCGGGTTTCACAAAGTTTTTCCAATAAGGGTGTTGTTGCCACACACAGTGCATTTCTTCTATGGGGACACCTTTAGTTTCTGGCAGAAGCTTGTAGATGAAGATATTCATGACCACGACAAAAACACCGAAGAAAATGAACAATCCGAACTTCATGTGACACAGCATGGCGGTGAAAATTTGAGCAATGGCGAAAGTGAAGATCATGTTGGTGGAAACATTGATACTCTGAGCAGCAGATCGAACTTCGAGAGGGAAAATCTCACTGGGTACCAACCATCCTAGAGGACCCCAAGACCATGCAAATCCTGCCACATATACGCATATAGCTACCACCACTGCTATGGCATACCATGTTGGCAACACACCAGGGTTTCCATTTATTCCGAACTTATATGCAATTGCCACTGTAATCAACATCTGCATATATAAATAGCCAAAACATATTTTATTAGTAAAATTATGTACACATTAATTAATTAATGTAAAGAAAGAGATAAGTGAATTAAGATGGAATGGCCTAGTGGATGTAGTGTTCAAGTATTTAAAAAAGCAAAAAATGCATGGACATGGACATGGACGTACCTGACAAACGAACATTTGAGCACCGCCAAGTAAGAAAAGAGTACGTCTACCAAACTTGTCAACCGAAGCAATGGAAACAAGAGTGGCAACAGCGTTACAAGCTCCAGTGATCATAGCAGACATGAGAGAAGCATTGGCACCGAATCCAATGGTTTTGAACAAAACAGGAGCGTAGAATGTTATGACATTCATGCCAGTGAGTTGCTGAAAGGCTGGAATGGCAATGGCCATGGTGAGATGAGGCCTGTAGTGCCTGGTCAGCAAAGAAGCCCAAGGGTGTTTCACAGCTTTGGATGATTCACTCGCTGCAACCAAATCCTTAAACTCCTCCTCAACGTCACTAGTGCCACGAATTTTTATCAACTCTTTCTTTGCTTCCTCCTCTTTACCACGCTCAATCAAGGAAGTGGGTGTGTCGGGGAGAAAGATTGCACCCAAAATAATCATTATGGCAGGAACCGCAGCAAAACCCAAACTGTAGCGCCAACCTTGTCCATTGTCCATGTTGGAGAAAAGATAGTTGAGAACATTGGCCACAAATAAGCCTATGGTGATCAACAACTGGAACATCATGTTAAGAGCTCCTCTGTACTTGTAGGGAGCAACCTCAGACACGTAAATTGGCACAGACTGATTGGAGCATCCGATTCCGCAACCGAGAAGCAAGCGACCAACGATAAGCATCCACACATGTTGGGCGAATGCATTCAATCCAGCACCGCCCAAGAAAAGCACACCACCACAAATCATGGTGAGTCTTCTTCCAAAGACACGAGTTACCGTGGATGCCCCGATTGATGACACCAGAGCAGCCAAGTACAGAGACGAAGTAAATAATGTTAACACTTGGCTATCGAATTTGCAGTACTGGTTCACCGACGCCGTTATGTTGTGCTCCTTTTCATACACATCTGGGAAAAACTTCTTCAAGAATGGATCCATTGACGTAACTCCACCTGTCAGTACTCAACAAATTATTAATCATCCTACTTAATTATAAACACAAAATGCATTATAATCAATGTATGAAAATACAAACCCGAGATGCCGAGATCGTAGCCAAAAATTAGCCCTCCAAATGCAGCCACCAAACAAGTCATGAAGACCCTGAAAGTAAGCTTTCCAGGGTAATCTTTTCCAGAGGCATTGCCTCCAACTATCACGCCTCCTGCCATTTTGCTATCGGATTCAATGAGTACAAAAGTGTGAGTAGTAATTGAGGGAGACAAGACTGAGTGAGTGCACAAGAACCCTTCCACCTTCAAATATATATATAAGCAATTACAAAGATAATAACAAATAAATTTTATCAATTAATTATTATTATCAACACTAAGATTAAAGATTTTTAATACCGTTGAGTGGATCTATCCTTAAATTATTTCATATCTTTATTAGATTACAGAATTTAGAATAAATTATATATCTTATAACTAATTTAAAGATTTTAGGTTTCTGTGTTTATGGATAGTGTTAGAAGAGGTTAGGGTGGAAATGCACCCTTTGTTGATGATTTTAAAAAATACTTCCACATCACCTTAGACTTATATAATTCTTTTTCATCTTTTAGATAATAAAGTTAGATGATTATTCAAAAATCGTAAATTTATAATGTTTATAGCTAAATTATTTCTTTTATGAATTTATATTGTTTAAAGCTAAATGATTTGAATTTATAATTAATTGTAATGATTTAAGACATGTCTTAATTTTTATTTGATAAAATGTGTTTAGGATTGGGCGGGAAAAGAGGATGAAGGAATATCTTAGATGTAAAATTATTATGATTAATATATAATTAAGATTACAACTAAATTATTTGAATTTATAATTAGTTATAATTACTTAACGTATGTCTTTATTTGTGGTTTAGGGTTTAGGGTTTAAAAGAATATATATGATATTGAGTGGTATAAAAGAATATTGAAAGACTATCTTGAATTTAATATTATTAAGATTAAGATAAAATTTTTGTTTAAAAAAATGTGTTTGACAGTGATTGGGATAACATGATATAAGATTATCCTAGATTTAGTATTTCTAATATAAAATTAAGATTACAACTAAATAATTTGAGTTTATAATGGATTATTATTACTTGACATATATCTTAATTTTTGTTTTTAAAAAAATGTGGTTAAGATTGAGCAAGAAAATAAGATAGAAGGGAGACTATACAGAATTTAGCATTATTAGAATTAAGATTTTTGTTTTAAAAAATGTGTAGATTAAATATATGTGTAGATTAAAGATTTTAGGTTTCTGTGTTTATGGATAGTGAGAAGAGGTTACGGTGGAAATGCACGCTTTGTTGATGATTTTAAAAAATACTTCCACGTCACCTTAGACTTATATAATTCTTTTTCATCTTTTAGATAATAAAGTTAGATGATTTTTGATAAGAAAGTTAAATAAATTAAAATAATACCAACTTAAATAATAATATTTAATATGTTCAAAATATTACATGTTAAACATATTGAAGATGTCATTTGAACAAAATAGATAGTGAAGTAGTGAAATTGAAAAAGATAACAAGAAAAATGATTAAGAGGATGAATAGCAATTATTTGCAAGTTTTGTTTGGAAAAAAATACTGCAACATACATGACTTTATAAAATTTATGACTAAATGATATGGATTTATCATTTGTTATGATTACTTAATATGTTCCTTAATTTTTGTGAATGACTTTAATATGTCAATTATTCAAGAATTGTAAATTTATAATATTTATAGCTAAATTATTTCTAATGAATAATTTCTTCATGAATTTATATTGTTTAAAGCTAAATGATTTGAATTTATAGTTGGTTGTAATTGTTTAAGACATATCTTAATTTTTGTTTAATAAATGTGTCTAAGATTGGGTTGGAAAACATGATGAGGGAATATCCTAGATACAATATTGTTAAGATTGATATAAGATTAAGATTACAATTAAGGGGTTTGAATTTATAATTAGTTGTAACTACTTAACATATATATATGTCTTTATTTTTGGTTTAAAAAATATGTATGAGATTGAGTGATATAAAAAAAATATTGAAAGACTATCTTGAATTTAGTATTATTAAGATTAAGATAAGATTTTAGTTTGAAAAAATGTGTTTGAAAGCCAGTGGAATAACATGATATAAGACTATACTAGATTTAGCATTACTAAGATAAAATTAGATTATAACTAAATAATTTGAATTTATAATTAGTTATAATTACTTAATATATGTCTTAATTTTTGTTGTGAAAACATGTGTTTAAGATTTAGCGAGAAAACAAGATGGAAGGGAGACTATACTAAATTTAGTATTATTAGAATTAAGATTTTATATATATATATCTTCAATGAAATCCAAATTTGCACATAAATTTATTATGATTAAATAAAAAATATTATTAGTATAATTGTTATTTTATTAGTATTATTGCACCTATAAAAAATTATTTTAAAATGTTTTAAATTTGTATAATTGTTAAATTATTTAAGATATATAAATGATAAACTTGGTTGATGTATCAAAAGAATATATATTAGTTATTACTAAATAAATATATTTAAATATATCGTTGGTATTAATAAAATTATTATTAAATTATACTTTTGATTTTTTATTATATATTTTTAATTTATTTTATTCTTTATCTTTTAAAATATTTTTTTTTTCTTAAATTTGGATCTATTTAATCTTTTTGAAACATTGATTATTTTAACTTTGAGAGAGGATTTTGAATCTTTTGTTAACTGATTTAAAATTAAAAAATTATTTCATTAAATTCACCTATATAAAAAGTATAAAATATAATTAACATTTGAATTTAAAATAATTATAAAGATAATCAAAATCATATGAAAAATATATCTTATGAGTAATTAAAAAATAATATGAAATTAAAATTTTAGATTTATTTTGTTACTTTTTGAATTTTTTTATATGCAACATTTATCATATTTATAATACTTTTTAATTCGATCTTTAATTGCATTTAATAATTTTTATCTAGATAAATTTAATTAAATATATTTAAAGTTTAGAATTAGTTAGCAAAAGATTTAAAATTATCTCTTAAAATTAAAAATGATCATTGTTTCAATCAAATAACTCCAAATTTAGGAGATAAATGACTAAAATGAATATTTTAAACGATAAAAGGCCAAAATAAATATAAAAATTGAGATAAAAGATTAAAAATATAATTTATGATAAATATTTTTTATTTTAAAAAAAGTTATTTTTATTCATTGATAATTTAATTTAAATTATTAGTATTTAATTTATAAATAATTATGTTAAGTAAAAATTGAATTGTATAAAATGTTAAAAAAATTCTTACAAACACTCTCGTTAAAAAAATCTTAAAAATACTCTCATGCAAAATAAATATTCATATTTAATATATATTAGTTGTTAGTATATATAATTTAATTTAAATTTTAATGAAATTTAATAAATATTTAACATATGTATTGCACATGCTAAAATACTGGTTAAAAATAAGTGATATAAGTCTTTAAGAGAAATTTGATATATAAAATTAGAAATATATGATGCAAAATATAAATTTTAGTAATTAATATATACAAAATCAAATATCCAATAACTTATTTTTTATATCAAATTTTAACTTAAAACAATTCAACGTCTCTCAACAAAATTCAATCATCAAACTACACTAACCACATGCAACCATTCAATAAAGTAAGATTGTCAATCTCCTTTTCATTCCACCAATAACAATATAAAGACCAAGAACAATCAGATATGTTTACAAATGATTGCCTTAGTTAAGCATAAATATCATTTTAAGAATTTTTTATTACATTGACTCTGGCCATTGGAGAGTTTTGAAGCAAGTACTACATTACTTTGTTTATTTGCTCATTAGATATGTTTGCAAATGATTGCCTTTTTTCACTGTCAATGACTTTAATCTAACAAGGCCCAGAGGTTGAAGTCTCGTTGAATTGGGAATTTGAGAGATCCTACACAATCATAAAGAATTGAAAAATATTTAAATAGACATTTAATTTGAGATGCAAGATATAATATAAACAAAAATGTGACATATAAATGCATAAATGTTACAACAATAAAACAAAAGAAAGGTAAAAATATACCATAGTACGTAACTTACATGTGGTATCATTTGAAAGGCATGCAAAGAAAATGTTATAATGTCTTTATATTGGCAAGAACTTGCAGCTATTTTATGATGATTGCACTTTTGCCATCTCGACTTGTCGCATTCCCATCAATGTTTATATTTACTTCTTCAAGAAAAGAAAATTGAATGTGGAGGAGAGTTGGTGACCAAACAAAACCCTTGATATATAGTAAAAGAAGTAAGATTGGAGTAGAAATAACAATTGGTAAGCTCGTAATTCAATTATTGTTAAGCTGGAAAAAGGGTTGGATTAGATATGCAGAGGACTTGTACATCATAATGGAAACAAAAATATCTCAGAAACAAAGAATTTAATATATGTCAGTTTGAAAAGGGTTTAACACACTCATTGCCACTTGAATTAAATTTAACCTATGAAAGATAAAGACTTTTTAGTATAGGCATTGATGGAAGCACTTGGAGAAGAAAGTTGTTCATCCAAGTCTCCATGCAAAGGACCGAAGAACTCTTGAGGTAGAACTCTTTTGAGGTGGCGGAATCACCTTGGATGTTTCTCCTCCATTGGAGTTGCTTCGTGGAGCTTCAAAGTGTCTTTGAAGGTGTTTTCCATTGGAGTTGCTCTGATACCAAAACTGATGGAAGCACTTGGAGAAGAAAGTTGTTCATCCAAGTCTCCATGCAAAGGATCGAAGAGCTCTTGAGGTAGAACTCCTTTGCGGTGGCGGAATCACCTTGGAGGATTATCCAATGGTGGAGAAGCAATGGAATAGGTTCGGTTACTCCTAGCTTGTTGTAGAAGCTAGAGGAACCAAGGCAAAGTTTGAAGAAACTTTGATAGAAACCTTAGAGAGAGAGTTCTCCACGGTTTTTAAGACTCTTGAGTGAGAAAGAAATCTGATTTCTATTTCTCTCTCATTTTCAAGAGTCAAATTCGTGAGTAACCTTCTCCTAGGTTCTCTCTCAAAGTTCCTTCTCCTAGAAGCTTGGTTCATCAAGTTTCTTCACTTCTCTAAGAGGTGACCGAACCTCCTAAAGTGTTTCTCCTCCATT